AGTCCTCCCAAGGCCGTGGACTGGGGGTTGGGGACCCCCTGCTTTACCTTGTCAAGCCGCATTTCAGGTTCAAGAACGATAAGACAGATTTTATATAGTAGTATGCAAATATTCTGAGGTATGCAACATATTTTAGCCTTATTATTGGTGGAAATTGGCCATTTCCTAAACTGTACTAGGTACTTAAGGCTGTGGTTGTGTTTTTTTATTTTTTATTTTTTAAAAACACAACATGGTGGGGATGTGGAAGTTGTGTTTTAGATGGTGTCTTGTCCTTCTTATGCTTCTCTGCATAAAGGTTTTTCTTCCTGGAAGGGTAGCATTTTCAAACAGACAGTTTCACAACCACAGACTGAAGAAACTAAGAAAACTACGAAAAAGTGCTAAGTACCTCTGCCCAGGGGGTTGGGACTGTGCAGCTAGTAGGCAGTGTGCCACCACTTGGCGCCTGTGGGGCCTGAGCCGTCCCATAGCTCTTCTGTGGTCCACCTGTGGCAGCGCCTCTCTTTGCCCCATTCTCTAGGGCTCTGACTCTGTGGCACCCTTGCTCCAAGGGGCTCAGAACTGCACACCTGACACCCACCCCCACCCCCATCTTATCATCGCAGCAGCTCCATAAAATAAGTCAGGATGTCAGGCCAGAACTGGACCAAGAGTGGAGATTCAAACCTTAGATTTTCCAGTTCTAGTCCAGTGCTCTCAACTGCCACTCCAGTTTGGCTCTCATATTTGATTCCTTTAAACAAAGGATGGGGAATGCAGCTCCCATCAGCCCTTCTTACCCTGTGGTGAGAGATGATGGGAGTTGTTATCTGACCCCAATGTGGAGGACACCTGTCCTTGCCTTTAGTTTAGGCATTTACCTGAGGCTAAAGAAGAGTGTTCTTAACCACGATCATTTTTCATGAGTCTTCGCTTTACCTCAGGTTTAGTGCTCTGTATGAGGATGAGGAAATGCAGCTGACCCTCGGAAGTTGCTGGACTGAAGCTCCCAGGATTTTTCAGCAGTGGCTTCCTTGATTGTTGCAAACGGAAGTTGCAGTCCAGCAGTATCTGGAGGGTTGCCGTTTGTTCACCTCTGCCCTGTATCTTTGGAAGTTTCATTTCTCCTTATTGGACTCACACCACGGATGTTGTTTGTGGAAGCTTGTGAATAAATCTGTTCCGTGAGGAGCCTCTCGCAAGCTTCCAAAGAACCCCAAAGCTGCCTTGAAATGCTTGGAAATCAAACTGCTGTATTAATTAAAAACAAAACAAAATACAACATCAGGATTCCTTGACTAGTATTTTGAAAAGTTCCTTTTTTTTTTTTGGACTACAACTCCCAGAGTTACTGTTTTTTGGCAGAGCTGTTTCCAAAAGCTCTTGGCTCAAATGTCAGATTGTAGGTTCTTGATGTTTTATCTTTTTCTCCTCCTCAGGTTTGGCTACCCTGATCCTACGTATCTCGCTCGAGTGCAAGAAGAGCTACGGGCCAAGGGGATCACCAATGACTGATCTTGTTCCCTGCTCCCATGTGCCCAGGAACATGGATGTTGTTTCTGCCAAGTCCAGCAACTATGGAGGGGAATTTCCAAGTCTGTCGGAGCCAACTGTTTCAAAATGTGATCTTGATCCAGAGGGCGGAGCCTGGACGTCAGGCTCAGATGACATTTCAGACTAAATCCGTTGCTTGAAGGACAGGAGAGCAGTGTGTGTGTGTGTGTGTGTGAGTGAGTGAGAGAGAGAGAGAGAGAGAGAGAGAGGGAAGGGGGCGGGAGAGGGAGGTGTGCATTTCGATTAGTTTGAGTAGGAAAAAGTGAGAGAGAGAGAGAGAGAGAGGGAAGGGGCGAGAGAGGGAGAGAGAATTAGAGATGTGCATTTTGATTAGTTTGAGTAAGAAAAAGTCAAGCTAATCTATACAGTACAGTAGAGATTGTAACACTTTAGGTGGCTTCTGGGGAGGGGCTAATTTTTTCAAATGATACTCTGTTAAAAACAAGTGGCAACCCCTTGCATGTAGTACACAGACACATCAGGGAGACAACTCCTCTGCACCCGCCTTCCTGGTATGCTAGATTACTACAAACAGGGAGGGCATTAAAGCATTTATTTAATGCAAGGGCATTCAAAAATGAGATCACTGCTACACACAGTTTGATGTAACAAGCAAGGTCCAAAGTTTTACCACTTCATCCTGCATAATAGGAGGTTGCCCCTCTTCACTAAAAATAGATGTCATGAAGGGGTGGCTGTGTTTTATTTGTCCAGTACATCTACCTTATTCACATTTCATACATGGGATTTTCCCCCTTTGTACAAGGGGGAGGGGAATGTCAGTGAGAGGAGTCTAACCTTTCTACATTCCCACTTCGCCTCCCTGTGTTCTCTTGAGACACCTTCCTGTCAGTGAGGGTTGGAGGCAGGCTTAGAAAGGGATGTCAGGGAGAAAAAGTGTGACTTGCACCCCCGCCCCCCCAAAGTGGAGTGGTGGTGGTTCTGCCCTCCTCACCTGAGGGCACCTTTTGCTATTAAGCCACTCACTCACGTCTCTGCTTCTTTTTTGGCACCAGTGGTTCATGAACTGGGAGTCCGTGAGACAGAACAAAAAACCTCTGCCAGTATAGAAGGAAGGCAAGCACATTGAAAATAAATGTGTGTGGAAATGGTTTTGTGAGTGGAAGTGTGTGTGTGTGTGTGTGTGTGTGTGTGAGAGAGAGAGAGAGAGAGAGTGAGAGCGAGAGTGTGTGTGTGTGTGTGTGAGAGAGAGAGATTTGGGCAGGCAGAGCAGCTTACCTAGGATATCTGTGGCAGAAGTTGGATGTGTAGAGCCTAAGTCTTTCTGCCGGGAGGCCATTTTGTATCTTCTGGGCCACACGGGATCTCAAGCAAGAAGGCTCGTGCTCTGCCCAGAAAGATGCCAAAATCAGGGCTGAAATCTGAGGTGCATCTTCGCCCTGTTCCCTTCTGGTTCTTTACCTCTCTCTAACCCTCCTCACAGAATTTGAAACGCTCCCAAGAACTCGACTGTTAGGAATGGGATACCGTTAAGCAAAGCAGACACGCACAATCCAGCGTGCACAGTGCTGGGAGCTCCCCTTAAAGTGAGCCAGAGGAGGTGACCAAACGGGATGGCTACATGGATTTGTGACTGAATGGTGGCAGGGCAGGGAAAGGTGAAGCATATGACCATCATTGGACTTTTGCACATAGCGGCTCACTTTGTTCTCGCTCACTTTCCCAGTCCTTATTCTGCTGGTCGCTTGAGGTGCCCAGACATCTGACACTCGTTCGCTCGCTCCCATGTTGTTCATCCTCTGGGATCAAAATCCTGCCCAGGATGGCAAAACTTTCCAGAGATGTTGGACTGTTCCTTCATGTTGTCCAGGAAGGCAGTGGCTGATGGACTCCAGGCACAGACAATACACCCGATCGCCTTCTCTGCCAAGGATAATTGGCAACCCCGTGGACCACACCTCGTGTATATACTTTCCGTGCTGGCATATCAGCTGTTGTGTAGTTATTCCAGCTGAGTCCCCTGTGGGACGCCTTGTGTGTCATTTGGATTTTAGCCAGGTCAGCCTGTGCTTCTTGGCTGGGCGGCCTGCTCCTGAATCTGGCACCTACCTGTTGTTGAGTGTTGGGGGCTGTTGGGGAGGGAGGGAGAATGTCTCTTGGCTAACTGTTAAGCGTGTCGCCTTGGACAGAGGTGAATTCTAATATTCACTCTTGTCCCGTACCAGTGAGAGCGCTCCTCTGATGCACAGTTTGGACAACGGGGGCTTTCTTTGCTGTTTTAAAAAGAGTAACTGAAAATACGACACTGGTTTCTCTTGATTCTTTTTAAGCGGTGTGTGGCAGGTGTGCTTGTGCGTGTGGTTTTTGTTTTGTGGGTTTTTATTTTAGTCTGGATGAGGTGTTGCTAAGGTGGGGGCATCTGTGGTCATATTTCTGTCAGACATGCAAGCAGGTCTACAAAAATTCTTTTCCCATAGCTGTTTTTAACGATCCCTGCCTGCCATTAGCTACCTGCGATTTTATATATTTCATTACAGCATTTATAAATTGCTTCTGTGCCTGTGCTTTCAGAGTAGTTTTAAAGTTTGATATAGGTCATACAGTTGAATAATAGACACACTAGTAAAGGAGAAAGGGAACGGTACAGGGATGAGGGCAATGGGCAAATTCATGTGTCAGTTGCTAATTATATTACATATATTACATAACTATTAGAATGAGAAGAGAGGAGCCAAATAGGCATTTACCCTAGCCAAGGGGGCATGACGTGACTTAGCTGTGTGCCGTCCCCATGTGCTCTGATTTAAGGCATATCATCCGTTTTTGATTTTTTCCCAATGATCTAATTCTCTCTCAATTGGCAAAAGTTTCCTAGCTTGGTCACAAAACCATTATAGTATCCTTTGTATAAAACATGTTTGTTTGCAGTAGGTAGAAAGACCAGCTGAATTTAAAGAAGAACAGATGTTGGCTCTTAATAACATCCAGGGACGGACTGACCAGAAGAGCAGAAGGTCTGAGCCACAGAATTTGGGGCCAGGATCTCAAGGAACGTTCATCTTCACTATTTTTAATACTTGAATATTAGATATTTCTTGCCCCAGGTTTCAAATACTAAATTACAGTATTTGTCCATGTATGAAACAATACTTTTGTCTAAAATCATTAGATTAAAAATTGAGGGTCATTTTATATGTGCTCAGATTTCTTAACAACAACCATCAGTCATCTTATACACGGAAGTAAGGAGGGAAGGGATCAAATCGCGTTGATTCCTGCTTTCAAAGGAATCAAAGCGCTTTGATAATTCCTGCTTTTCCCCCTCCACTTTCTTGCAAGGGGGGGGAGTAGGAATCATCAAAGACCTTTGATTCCTGCTTTCCCCCTCCACTTGCTAAGCCCCGCTTAGATTTCTTAATTTTGTATTAGAAAATTTGAGGATGTGTGCCTTATACATGTGGGTGTCTTATATATGGAAAAATACGGTAGTCTTAAATAGCCATGGGCAGGGATCAGAACTCAGGTTGTGGGACTCACGGTCAAGTCAGACTTGTGTCACACTGGGGACTCTACTTGGGTTCCCCCCCTTCCCGTGACTCAGACTCTACTTGTGACTCAGAACCCACCAACTCCTCCCTTTTCTTTTTGGGTGAAAAGCTTATTTTTAATAGGGACATAGACCTGTGACTCAGGACTTGGTACCAAAGACTTAAACCTAGACACAAAGATTTTCCAACATCCCTGGCAGTGGGTCTAAGACTGCAGTCCTCTATTCCTGAGAGTAAGGCAAGAGGAAACCAATAAGACTTAATTCTGAGTTGATAACTACTGTGAGGAGACAGCCTGATAGACACTTAGAGACGTGTCAAAATGGTGGGACTTAATTCTGAATGAACACAACTGAAGAGTTTCAACACAAGGGCAGAGCCAAATACAGATACACAGTAATAAATGGAGATCAATACACCTCAGATAAAAAGGAAATGCTGATGAGAGAAAAAGTGTTAGTGAGAAGCCATTCCTGCTAGATTTAAATATTTCAAAAACTAAATACCCTCTGAGGTGGTAAGGCAGGTGTTGAGATATATTAGGCTTGAGGTATCTGAGAAGTTCAGTTGTATGGCTGTGAGGCAAAAGATTGTTAGTTTTCTTAGTCCATGAGATGTATTTGGCACAATTTGGATTCCTGCAAAGTCCTGCTTCTTGCCCTAAAACGCCAGTGTCTACCCCTTACAGTCAAGATACATTCTAATGTAACATCTGTTCTCTTTACCAGTCCATGCTGGTTTGCTGGCAGGGGTACATTCCTCTGGCCTTCACAGGGTTTCTATTTGATCTTCAGTCAGTCGCCTAGTGTGTTAAATGGATGCAAGTCACTGTTCGGTATGCTAGGGCAGTGGTTCCCAACCTGTGGTTCTATCTATGTGAACATCAGTTCCAAGAATCCTTGACCAGTGATCATGTTGCCTAGGTTTCTTGGGGTTCAAGTCTAAAATGACTGGAGTGCTCTAGCATGCCTGGAAGACGAAAGAGTGGGCAGTTCTAGAGTAGAGAGTTTTACTATTTCTGCCCTTGCATAGCTGGTGTTCCTGCTGAAGTCCATGAAAGGCAGACGAGGTACAGAGTTCCCATTGTGTTCAAATCATGGATATCACAGTTAGCAAAGTAGTGGTGAAAGATTAGGAATGATGGAAAATGAGTATACCAGTGCCTTTTTGTTGCTGAATTCTCTCATGGAGAGAATTCAGCAACAAAAAGCATATAAAGCCCACTTCCATAAGCTTTATGCCAAAAGAGATAATCCCTCATTTCATGTGAGTCATTTATATATGAATCTACCAGAATGGCACCCTATATCAATCTCTGAAATAAATGACCTCGTGAACCAATTGAAAATTGTTAAGGCCCCGGGCTGTGATGGTATTCCTTCCGAACAACTGTGAATGGTGGGCCCCAATTCTGGCAAAGCTTTCCACTCATATGGACCAAAATGCTCACATGCCATGGAAGGTAGCGTTCTTTGTGTTCCATGGGCACAGAGTGGCAATGCCTCTGGGAAAGCTGTCATGCTGCTTCCTTGTCCTGTGGGCAAGGCAAAGAGGGGCAAAAGTAATTCGCTTCTATTTTTGCCCCTGTAGTAGAGGATTACTCGTGTCTAAAGATGTGTTTGGCCCTAGAACTTCAGGAATGCTACTTCTGTCCTAGGCCCAATGACCTTCTCTTCCCCAAGGTCATCATCATTCCCTTCCCATACTTCACTTATTTATTTTTTCTGCCTCATTAGAAAGGGTCCAATTCTGTGTAAAATCAGCACATGTTTAGATCTATCATGTAACATAACCTTTAGCTGAGTATTTGAAAGGTCATTGTGTGGAAAGCAAGCTGAGGGGTTGTGTAGATAGGCAGAACATGAACAGCTCTGATTCCATTTAATCTGGCTTGGTATTAACCTTAGCAGATGGGTTTGTGTCAAGCCCAATGCCATGCAGACAGGACAGGAGGCGGCAGCACCAAGCTTGAAACATTTTCAGCTTGTTAAATACTCCTGGTTCAAGCCAAGGAGCTGAGCAGTGGGGTGTCTATGTTTATTACCTGACTGCCATGCAATATAAATGTACATTTATCAGAAGCAGCTCCCATATTGATTCTAGACACCAGGGTGGGGTAGGCCCCACTCCTTCAGCGTGGCCCTAGCATGGATGACATAAAGCAGATGTTGCCTAGAATCCTCCAGCAGCTAAAATCAAATTTCTGGTGTTTCTGAAAAGTGACACTGAAGGCAGCTTATGTCAGTTAAAACAATGTAAAAACATTTAATAAGTAGAGGGGATACAGCAGTAAAACCACGAGTTGCAGAAGTCCAATGATGGAAGAGTCTTTGAACTTTCTCCTGCCTAAGCAACACTGCTGCAGGAAATCCCTGTTAGG